AGACAGACAGACAGACAGACAGACAGACAGACAGACAGACAGACAGACAGACAGAAAGACAGAAAGACAGAAAGAGAGAGAGAGAGAGACGATGATTGACGTCCAATTTCTTTACATTTTTTGGCAACTAAAATATACAATAGTCTTCTAAGATGAGAATCCTAGAGAAGAGAAAAACAGAAAAAGCAACCGAAAAAAAACCCCGAACAAGGTCAAACAGTCTAGTGACGCCATGTCTCTAAAGCCTGCGGCAGATTTTTTAGAGCCCAATTTAGCTAAGCGACATCACTCTAGATCCCTTCTCCCAGACATGCTGAAGTCCGGAAGCAAAAACTCAACGTCAAAAGCACATCCTCCGACTAGCAATGAGCAACTTTTAAATCCGCCAGGGTACTTCGTTTAGACGTTTTCCCACAGTTCGATTTTATTTCAGTTTTTTAACATCGCTAGCTTTTATCCAGGCTTCTACTTATTTATACAATGCGTGACTATCTGGGAGGTTTTTTTTAGCTGCAGCTTAATGGGCAGACAGATAGACATGAGACAGCATTGTTAAATGCATGGCAAGATTTTGTGCTTCCTGGACACCTTACTTCTAATTTTACTTGCAAAATCGCTAGGGGGGACAGGGGAAGTTGCACTTTTTTAAATTGATTGGCCCACGAGCGTACATATCTGTGTCGTGCAGAAAGACACTGTTTACTGTTTTCGGAAAATACATTCAAACCTGCACTAACGATAACCTGTCCAAGACAATCCCCTGTACAAACGACCACTGCCCACTGCTCCCCCCCTCCCGCCTTTTGTGTTTTTCTTCTGTAGCATTCTGACACTGTCTAAAAGTACTACCTGTCTGAGTTGACTACTTTTCTCGTCGACAATGGGTGGTTCTCTTAGATAGGCCAGACTATATCATTATTTAAGTTAATGCTTCCCAGAACGCTCTGTTCTAAGTCATCTAGGAAAATGATCAACAAAAGTTACAAGTCAAGAGTGCTCAAGTGTTTTGACTGTTTGTCCATAGCTACATTTAAAAAAAAAATGTCTTACAGTGTTGCAAAACCAGTGTTTGTGGTAGTGGTGAGGCGCTTCGCCATCGCACACAGATGACGCGAGTTCGCTACTTCAGTGGGGATGTTTTTGTTATTGAGTATCTCTGTTTATCTGTTGGCAAGCTGTGTCCCTTACAGTTACAGCCCCTGTCAGCTCTGACAGGCAGACTCGAAGCTCCTTAATGATGTAATTTGAGTCAATTATCCAGTAAAATAAACACAATTACAATTACAGTTTTAAAAGATGTGAAATCTTACAAATCTTACAACAGAAACAAAAAAAGGAACTGCCAGATAGTGTTTTAATCGTCGAAGAAACAAACTTTTAAAAGAACAAAAGAAAAAAAAGTGCACGCTACTACTAGCCTTGTTTGAGGAACATCAATAATAATTGCTGAGAACTAGGTCCAGGGTTGCTCCTAGTCTGGTTCCAACACAGGGTGTAAGTGTTGATGAGGTCGAAAAGGAAAATGTTTGTTTGTTTATTTCTAAATTGCTTTTTTTTTCTAAATCTAAAAAAATCCCACCTACCAAACCCTGACTTGCCAGCCCAGATCCTGTTAGAGAAACTTTGTAAAAGTCGTGTTGTTGCTCCCTTCCTAGCCTTTCTTGTACTATGTCCTTCCCGTTTCTCTTTCCTCCTATT